CCCCAATCTTGAGGTTATAATCCTCCATTCATTTCTTCCTCAAATTGATATATTTTGAGAGAAAACTAAGTGTTTTCAAGAGAGTGTTCTTGTCATCCATAGAGCTTAATCTTTTCTCATTTCTACTCTTGTGAGAGTTATTGCTGAGAGGTTGAAGAAGATTGTTCTTCTTGTTGTTCAAGGCTTATGTGACTTAAGTCTTGGTTGTGAAGTCTTGTAGAGGGCATATCTACGAGCGGTTGTGTCGAGGCTTGTGGGATTCAAGTTCTCGAGTTGTAAACGGTTTGTTAAGCACCCGTAAGCTTAACGAAAGTAGTGGTAGCTTCGAGAGAGTCTCTCGGGGAACTGGACTAGCCACGAGGTGGTGAACCAGTATACATCGGTGTGTTCTTTCCCTTCTCTATTTTATTTCCGCTGCACTTACGTTTATATTATTAATCCTGCGAAAATCGGTAAACATTCTCAACAACTCTATTCACCCCCCCTCTAGAGTTGCACACCTTGTCTAACAAACGTAAGAGTTCTTTATAGAGATGTGGTGGTTTTGAAAGTTGTGATTTGGGACAATGGTTAAACGAGATTCTGGACACATTTGGTTAATAAATGAAAATAGGAAGAACGAATGGGTGACGCTTTTTAACACTCATAATCCCCCGTTATTTCACGAGTATCCAAAGTTTATATAAAAGTAACTATTAAGGTGTTTCATTCGTGTTTCATGTAAGGTGAAGTGTGTGAGGCAGTGTTGGAACATAAGTCTAACTTTTGATGATGTGGAGATACGTACAATGCATGAATTGATGAATAAATTATTTCATTGGTAGTCAAAATTGGAGTAATATACAAGTAATGGGAAAAAATTAAAGGAGAGGGGGGGCCCTTATATGGGACACATGAGTCCATCTTGCGCTAAAAAGATTCAACAAAAAAATATTCAATGTTTGTAGGAAAAAAATAATATTATGTCAAAGTATTCATCGGACAATTTCTACTATCGTGATAGGCCAGCTCTTTGCAAGTTCGACACAGCGTTTGTTCTTCTTGCTTTGTTCAATATGGAGCTCTTTAGCACTCTTGATGCGCTTACCACTACCCTTGTTGTGAGCTGGTTGAGGTGGAAGCACTTTAATCACTGATGGAGCGGGAACACCACAGTAATTTTCAAAGAGGTTAGGTTCTCCAGTACCTGCATCCTGGGACGAAACAACAGATTGAATGAGCTCCTTTTGTTGAGTAATTACCTTGGAGAAAGCACATAATAACTCAGGGTTATTTTCAATAAGTGCAACACAAGAGTGAATGTTAGACCATAGGCGGTTGAGCATTAATTTGTCTTCGTCAACGGATGATTCCAAGATAAAGTCCAGGCCAGAAACATCGATCAGTGGCTTCAGGAGTGGTATTTCGCACCATCTATTGGTAATATAACGTTCTGGGATCAGTTTGATTCTCAGTCCCTTGAACACCAAGAATATGTGACGGCACAGCAGACCAATGCGCTGCCAATATTTACATGTGCAGAAGAAAGAGCCTTCTAAGGTTGAATGTTCAACGTTAACAACCATATCTCAGGAATCCTGCACAACAAATGTTAACGTATGCTCCTTCTTGTCCACCTGTAGCACGCCGCACGAGAAGCATGATGCACATATCTCTGTTTGTACTTCGTAGAAGATGCTCAGAGTGTAGATGGATGCTGCATGTTTCTCAATTGCAAGCGGTGTTTTATAAACAAGGGCGCATGCTTCTGAATCTGCATCCAAGTCTGCAGTTTTATGTCGTTGGGAGTCCATAGCACTTTCAAATTGCATATAGAACTCGACAAGAGTGAAGAAGGTATTTTTGAAATCACCAAAAAAGCTATTCTCGCTCTCAGAACGTGATGTTGTGCGTAGTAAACCAATCATGAACAAATCCCTAAAGTATGCGGGGATCCAGCTTTTACGAATAGCAAAAAGATTGCAAAACCATGAATCAGAATCCAGCTCATAATCAACTAATACCTCATGCCATTGTTTTTCCCAGTCTTCAGGCTCGAGGTAATGACTCCATATTACAGAGTTTAACCTTGTCAAAAAGTCCTGATCTTTTGCAAGTTCATTGTCAACTTTGGACATAATTTTGTTGGTAATATGCCACATAGAGAGACGATGGACTGTGTTTGGGAAAACCTCTGGAATAGCAATAGTCATAGAAGCGTCTTGGTCCGTGATTATGCATTGTGGTGCATGACCCATTGCATCAAGAAAGTGGTTAAACAACCATCTGTACGAAGGAACATCTTCTCTGCGCAGTAGACCAACTGCAAAGGTTACACATCTGCGGTGATTATCTACACCAGTAAATGGTGTAAAAACCATTTTGTACCTGCACCACAAGAAACACACCCAGAACCAAACTAGTTCAACCCCTGAAAACATGTTTAAAACGCTAGAAATAATACTTATGCAGTGCATCAAAGGCATAACGTGCTGCATTAAAAGAATATACCTATTTGTGTTGAAGGTTGCATCAAATGAAATGACATCTCCAAACATTTCATAGTTCTTCTTAGCAATAGGATCGCACCAGAATACCCTAGTTAGCTGGTCACTCTCATCAACATCATAGTCAAAATGGAATGCAGAGCATGTTTGTTTCTTTCTGAATAGTTTGTCAATGAGCATTTGAGCATCAGCGCCTGCAATATATGCCTTTAAGTCTCGTTTGAAATTTTTGAAGTCAATTGCAGTGGCACACACCCACATTATTAAAGCCACCAACTGATTCCTTAAACAATCGGTAGGACTTCATAGGGCCAATGTTCGCCTTTGCACAATTCAACATAAACTTCTTGTGGCCAATTTCTAGATTTCTGTTGATTTTCAAAAAGGGCCTAGATTGAAGGGACATCATGAGATGGTTATGACTTGCAATGAATGATGATATGGAGTAGCCTACACCACCCGTGAGCCTAAACGCTACACGCACCTTGCAATCAACACGATTGGAAATGCGTCTCTTCTGTTTTGCCTTGGGCAAGTCTCCATCGTCGTGAGTGGGTTTGTTGCAGGTTGATGCAAAATGCTTATGACCTTCGCGGTTGCATACAACGTACCGCCACACAACAACACCCGAAACCTTCAAATTGGTACTTTTACGAATGTCAAAACCTGCCAATGCAGCATATTGCTTGTAAAAATTAAATCCGTCCTCTAAGGATTGGAATACCATTCCCACTTTGGGCTTGGCCTCTTCAGGGCAGGTAGGAATAAATAAGTTGGATGAAATCGAAATAATTTCGGTTGCATGTGTCGGGCCTTCGTTTGAAGTCATAGGTGTGTACCCTAGCCATAATCGACGGAGGAAGGTTAGCTAAATGCATTACATAATTATAATTATGTAATATAGGATTCAAAAAAAGCGAACTAGAGGACCTATTTATGAATAAATAAACACAGAAGGGGAGAAATGACATGAAGCGTAATTTCACGAAAGTGGCCGCAATTGACGAACAACAAAGAGAAAAGAGAACTAGCAAAAGACGAAATGTAGTCCACCAAAAAATAGTTACAGGCATTACCAATACCTTTTTGAAGCATTGTTGAATTGAGTAAGCATGATCAGTCGTGGGGGGTCATTTTGATGCAGTAAGCATGGTCAGACGATGGGGGGATCATTTAATGCAGTATGCAGACATGATGATGCAATACAAAATGCATGAAATGCATAAAGAAATAAAATACCAGTATAACCCTTTTTAGACATAATGCATACAAAAATATATGGGTGCAGTGTTTCATGAAGCTGTACTAAGTTTAACGAGCAACCTTTGAAACGATAACCCCATTAAGAAAAATTCTAAATCCCAAAGAAATTTATAAGTAATTTTACAATGAATGTAAGTGCATCCATGGATCTAACGAACTGGAGAGGCTAGTGAAATTTACATACCATGGTTACGTAATTGTAGACAAAAAGAATCACAAAAAACACAAACCTGGAACCATGATAAAAGATCGAGCAGCAAAGCCGCTCCCAATTACGGCTGAATTGGAGGTTAGCAAGAGTTTGGTAAATAAGGGTATTCATATCTCTAGAAAGGTTAGAGAGAAAATGGGGAAAGTGAATCAGATCGTGCGCGAGAAATCAGGGATGAGAATGCCTCGCGATGGTTTGCGTTTGAAGGAAGTGCCGTAAAGACTTCTATGCCCTGGCGATAAGATTGAAAACTCATCAGATCGGACGGTTTATAAGTACTCTTATTTCTTTCATTAGATCTCTTTCTCACCGGAACCAAACTCATAATCCCCATGCCAAGTCACTCATTAAAACATTAATTTCTCATCCAAGCATGCAGTCTTCATCCAGTATTGTGCTTCACCAACTGCCTANCGCTCCCAATTACGGCTGAATTGGAGGTTAGCAAGAGTTTGGTAAATAAGGGTATTCATATCTCTAGAAAGGTTAGAGAGAAAATGGGGAAAGTGAATCAGATCGTGCGCGAGAAATCAGGGATGAGAATGCCTCGCGATGGTTTGCGTTTGAAGGAAGTGCCGTAAAGACTTCTATGCCCTGGCGATAAGATTGAAAACTCATCAGATCGGACGGTTTATAAGTACTCTTATTTCTTTCATTAGATCTCTTTCTCACCGGAACCAAACTCATAATCCCCATGCCAAGTCACTCATTAAAACAATAATTTCTCATCCAAGCATGCAGTCTTCATTCAGTATTGTGCTTCACCAACTGCCTAATCTTCTCCCTAACCCCGTTCACATCTGATTCGACTATTGCAGCACAGTAATTTGTCCTAAGTGCATTCACCGCCTTTCCGTCCCCCTTTTTCAAACCACAGTCCCACCGCTTCAATGTATGCCTCGTGTACGTCTCCATATGGCGCATTGTGATCACACCATAATCAAATACGGCAGTCGAATCCCTCCACGGCAGTTGTAATCGTTTTGGCTGCTGTGCCTTCACCTTTTCCACCCGGCCATCCATACCTTTATTTTCAAAATACTTAACAACCATGATTCGCTGCAATAAAAGGAATGATAAAATATTAGATTGTTGAAATACGTATCTTCTCATCCAACTTTTCCATTTCTCTTATTTCATATATATGTTCCCTTTTTACGCATAAAAAATATGGTCCATGCGCTAGTAATTAGAACTTACCACAACGTTTGGCATTTCATCATACTTATCAATCTTTGCCACACCAGCCGATGAGCTGTCAAGGATATCAACCCTATTCACTTTCAGGTTCACACATACGCAATAACACCAACGATGTTGCATTACTGGAAAAATTATCTGCACAGTTCACAATATATCATGCATTGCAACATTACATGCATATCGTATAAATAAACATAACAACAACCCATGAATAAATCTGAATCAGGCATCAATAAACTCACCATATCAGCATCGCATGGATTGGTTAAGCTCCACCCATAATCCAGAGCATCAGAAACAACTTTATAAGCATCCACATCTTTCTCCACCTCCCTCTCACTCATAAACATCTGCAATTATAGTGTAATATATATAAATAAACAAAATCAAAAGAGTATTTAAGTATATTACTAGACAGTAACCTACACAGTTAATTGTTTTTGCAAAAAAACCGGGCTGGAGACGCAACGCTACGAAACAGCTCCTTGTGATTCAATATGCAAGACCAAGCATCAACTACCCGTGGAGATATGTGATGGCCACTTTCCAACGTCAACAAATCTCCACGCTCAACCAAAATATTATACCCATTGAACACAACCTCCTCCCTGCATAAATTATA